CATATGACATCAAAACGGAATCTATTTACTGTTTTAATACATGCTTATCCCATGTTTCCCTTGTTGAATGCCGTTTTTGAAGTTGTATTGTAATATTTCTGCTCTGTGTTTTTCTTGATTGTCAGGATACGGTGATGGCGTTGCACGCACTGTCACTCTACGCCACCATCAACAGCGGCGAGTTCGTGGATCTCACCATCACCGTGAACGGAGCTCCCATGTTCAACATAGACAGATCCAATTACCTCCTGCAACAGAGCCAAGACCTTCCCGTATGTATAATACACAGATCTAGACACCAACTACCAGTCAACAGATTTTAAAAAAAGAAATAAATACTTTTATTCAGCAAGGATGCATTAAATTCAAAAGTCAAAAATTCAACAACAAAAAAAAAGTGTCAAAAGTTTCAAATAAATGCTGTTCTATTGAACTTTCTTTTCATCAAAGAGTCTTGAAAAAAGATTGATAATTATCAGAAATGTTTCTTGAGCAGTAAATCAGCATATTAGAGTGATTTCTGAAGGATCATGTGACACTGAAGACTGGAGTAATGATGCTGTTCCATGCACAAGGGCCAGTTGTTCAAAACATTTAATCTGGATCAAAATGATCCAGATTTGGAAAATCCCATTTTTTCCTATCCAGGATCAGGTAATCCGTCTTACTTTTATGCCGGTTTTTCAAAGCAACATTGGACTGGATCACCCTGATCCAGATACGCAGTTTTCAAGATTACCAAATCCGGATTACCAGTGCTCTAAATGGGACAATATCACAATGTGGGCTACCGGCTATGTAAAGAACAGGTAGAAGAGCCAACATGGGGTCACTGTAAGTGTTTCTTATTTTGAGACAAAACACAAATGGGGACAAGATATTTTTTATTTTATTTTTACTTTACTATAGAGTTCAATGGAAATTGCGAAACGAAACGCACCCCTGAATAGCTTAATTGTTAGCCTATGTCTACTTTATCACTGTTACAGCGGTTACACAAGTCAAATGCAAAATATAAATAAAAGTATATACACTAAATGATACAAATGTATTATTTGACCAATTTTAAAGTTTTACTACATTTTCTTCCTGAAATTCACCGTGAAATCCTACACCCTATTGGGATCAGATCCCGTTTTTTTTGGATCAAAATTATCCAAATCCCACTGACAAGTTTTGAACAACACAAACTGAAGGTTTGATCCAGATTAAAACTAGGATTGGATTCCCTGATCTAATCTGATTTCAGATTCCTTCTTTCCCTTTTGAACAACCCATTTTCAAGATTTGATCCAATCCGATAACCAAAATGCGATCAGCTTACCTTTGAACAACTGGACCCAAAAGATAGATTTCGGAAAATCAGATCACAGGAATAAATTACATTTCAAAATTTTTTCATAATAATTTAACATAATAATTTTCCAATTGTATAATATTTCACAATATGACTGTTTTGCTGTATTTCTGATCAAATGCATGGAGAGTAAAAGAGACTTTAAAAAGTCTTACGACGCCAACTGTAGTTTGTATAACTCACAAATATTTCAAAGTTATCATTGCAAACAACTAGCAAACTGTTTGCTCTGCTAAGCGAAGCATGCTAATGTTTGTGTTGCATCTACAGATTGATGCAAGTGACGGGATTGACATTGAAGTGGTGGCAGCGGGTAAAGGCATTGCTCTGTTTCAGGTATGTCTAAACTCGTAGTTAACATCTAATGAAAACAGGCGTCATGCACAGCAGATGCAGTGTGTGCGAAACAGGCCTCAATTACTGTATATACAGCAGGCCTTTTAATATGGAAACTTCTGTTCGCACACTACATTTGGTCTGGTACAAATATAGCTTCAAAACAGAAAAAGGTAAAACAAGTTGCTTGTTGACCGTCCTGACAAGCTATCACCTGCCAAAGGTTCAGCAGCTGTGCATAATAACTGAAATCCCAATAAAGATAAAAAGAGACGTAATTATACCTTTGATTGCTGGCCATGGAGCATGTAAAGGGGTCCAGGTGCTGACCCTGAGACACCAACATCTTGAGCTGCTTTGAGAAGCTGTAAAACAGTGTCCAGAACTCTGTTCTGCTGAAGAATTGACCTGATGTTTGTTCGTTTGTGCTTCAGATGTGAATGATTGGGGAGAGGATGTGCTGTTACTTTACAAAGTGATAAAATGGAAAACAACTACCAAAAAAATTAACCATTCATTTTTTCTTAATGTTTCAGCTCACTGTGTTCTACAACGTGATGAACCTGAGAAGGTCTCTCAGACGGCGTGATGCACACACAGATGAGGCCTTTCATTTGGATATAGACGTAATGGACAATGGGGAGTTTAGTGTAAACCTTCACATATGTTACAGGTGAGCGGTTGGACTGAACACACACGCAGGGCTCGCTTTTTGCCAAGATTTCATCAGCACCAGAAAAAAAAAATTGATTTAAAAAGTCAACAAAACAATAGGGATTACTCAAATACTCTGCTGAAAAATCAAACAAAAAATAAATAAAATATGTAACAAAAATTGTTACAAGAATCATAAATCATAAAATTAAAATTCAGTGAATTGCCCAGCCTGACAAAACAATATAGAGCGGCCCCAAACAAGTATTTGCATTTGAACTTCAATTAAAAAGTGCAGTTGCATTACATAACAAAATATCAAAACATATTTTATGTGTTAAAATGATAAAATATCAAAACATTCCCTTAGAAGACAATAAACTGAACTGATATGGCATTTATTTTTATAATTTTTTAAAAATTTATTTAAAAGGGACATTGCACATTAATAAACATTGAAATAAATATACATTTTTGAACTAATGTTATTAGGCAAGGCAAGGCAAGTTTATTTATATAGCACATTTCATACACAATGGCAATTCAAAGTGCTTTACATAGAAGAAATTAAAATAATCAAAAGAAATCAGAATAATTAAAACAGTTTAGAATAAAAAAATAAGAAATAATGAAAACTACAAATTATGATAAAAATAAAATACAATAAATTAGGAAGAAAAGAAAAAAACATGCAGCTCAATTTAAACACAAATAAACAGCATTTTTACCAATAAGATAATAAAAGTATAATATTAGGGGAAAACAAAAGAAATTCATCAATGCCAGGTTTATTAGACAATTAGCAATATTGCATTATATATTCTATATCTAATGCAAACCATATCTATATCCAAATACTTTTTTTGGGCCTGCCATAGATATTTATGGAAATATTCAATCAAACTTGTGAAGAAATCTGTCTGAAAGCATAATTTTGTCTATTTCTTTAAGCCTGAGGGAAGACCTGGGCCTGAGTCAGACGGGTATGGCCATACTGGACGTGGGTTTACTCACAGGCTTCAGTTTGGCCCCAGATGGTGTCCAGATAGATGATACAGTCAGAAGAATAGAGACGCCTTCAGGACGAGTTATACTTTACTTAAACACGGTGAGTTAGCAAATATAAATTTCTTAAAGGTGCATTGCGCAAGTCTCTGAGTTTTTGCAGAACTACGCCCCCTCTGGCGGCAAGCGAAACTGGAACCATAGGTGTGCATGCTCATGACAACTCGCCTTCTGACTGGATATAATACTGAAAATCTACAGAGCGAAAAATATACAGAGGTCGTGCGCATTTTTTCCGGGGTTCTCCCATCACAAGAGGATTTCTGATACTAAATAAATATTAAATTACCATTTTAATTTTGGATATTGGATATTTACGATTTGAGATCAGTCCATCCAGATTCAGTCACTCTTAACACACCTCACACCAGAAAATCTGAGAAAATAATATGTAAAACCATCGAAATTATCAGGACTTTAATTTGAAGGGGAGAATTGGGCCCAAAAATCTTGTATTGTGGGCCAGCCTTTACTCATTTATACAATGTTTAACTGCATAATCTTATTTTCCCAATGAATTTAAGTTTATTTTTCTGACCGCATTCTTGCTTTAAGCAAAAACAAGATACATTTTGATACATTTTTCAGTAAACAAGACTTAATATCTCCTGTCATTTTGCTTCTCAGGTAAATGTATATTGATTTAAGAATGTTAAATTAAAAAAAAAAAAAATGTGTGGTGCGTTTTTGTTCTTATGATGGTTTACTTGGTTGTGTGCATCATGCATCGGCTGGTTCGTGGCTTTATCTTCAATTTAATCATCTTTCCTCTCATCATAGGTGACCATATTCGAAAAGTGCATTGAAATGTCCACCATAATGGATTTTAAGGTGGCCGATGTCCAAGATGCTGTGACGATGATCTATGACTACTATGAGCCGCGTAAGACTCTTTAAATAATTGCTTATTCATGGTCCTTCAATTTAAATGATGTTCTGTTCCAGTATGTGTTTCGTTCTCTTCTCCTCTGCAGAACGGAGGACAGTGCGGTCCTACACGTCTGAGATTAGACAGCACATGTCTGTGTGTTCTCTGTGTGGGTCGGATTGTTCCCAGTGTGGGGCTCAAGAGTGGGTGACTGATGGGACGCCCTCTATCAGCCAACATCCACTTCTGGCTCTAAGCTTGACCACAGCGCTCATCATCCTCCTGTCCATCTACAACTAATCAGTACATCGCAACCATTATAATCAGTAACACTCTACTACAAGCAAAGTTTGTGTAAATTATTGCAGACGGTTCTGTAAATGTGTTTTTTTATTCTTTATTTAGTGCAACAATGAATGATTTTAAAAACCGAAATTTCTTTAAATGACATTTCATTACTGCCAACTTAATTCAAAATAAGTGATTCATTAATTATGAGTGAATAAGGGATGCTTTTGCTTTTAGATTTTTTCCATTATCTGTTTTTAATTTTGAGCATAATTGAAATGTTAATTCAGGGTCAGGGGCAAAACTGATCAATGAACTTTTTAAATGTGAACACTGATTCTTAAATTCATTGTCACCATTATAATAATCCACAAATGTGCACCATGTTGTAAATTACCACAATTACAAATTCCCCAGTGTTAAAAGTCATGTCTTTTTTGATCTGGTAAGTTGAAACTTCTTTAACTCAAAAGTTGGACATCTTTTTAAAAGCTTTAAGTTCTACCAAACTAACAGAGCAGCATCACCTGAAAAACTAAATTTTAGTTTCAGTTCATGTTTTGGAGAATTTTACCTGGTGTACTTTATTTGCTATGTTTTTTCTGAATTATGTGGTTGCCATAGAAATGATTAATTTAGCTGCTCTATGTACAATATGGGTGTTGTATCATAACTGCAGCAATTTCACGAACATGAACACAGCATAAATTTCTTATGCAAATGTTAATCCATAATGCAAGATTACACTGAGAACGATAAACACACTGATGGCTGATTTCTTAGTTTTGTGTTTTCAGTTATGTGGTAAACACACTGGTGAATGCAATACGGAGGCGTATTGCATTCACTTGAAGAAAAAAAAATCTACTCTGTTTTTCTGAATTAACGAGTTAATTTTTCATGAGAAAAAAAAAATTTTGCTCTGTTTTTCTGAATTAATGAGTTAATTTTTCATGAGAAAAAAAAATTTTTTCTCTGTTTTTCTGAATTAATGAGTTAATTTTTCATGAGAAATTTTTTTTGCTCTGTTTTTCTGAATTAACGAGTTAATGTTTCATGAGAAAAAAAGTTTTCCTCTGTTTTTCTGAATTAATGAGTTAATTTTTCATGGATTTTTTTTTTTGCACTGTTTTTCTGAATTAACGAGTTAATTCAAAAAAAAAGGGCAAAAACTTTTTTTCTCACGAAAAATTAACTCATTAATTCAGAAAAACAGAGAAAAAAATATTTTCTCATGAAAAATTAACTCATTAATTCAGAAAAACAGAAAAACTTTTTTTCTCATGAAAAATTAACTCATTAATTCAGAAAAACAGAGCAAAAAAAAATTCTCATGAAAAATTTACTCGTTAATTCAGAAAAACAGAGCAAAAAAAAATTCTCATGAAAAATTAACTCGTTAATTCAGAAAAACAGAGAAAAAATTTTTTTTCTCATGAAAAATTAACTCATTAATTCAGAAAAACAGAGTAGATTTTTTTTCTTCAAGTGAATGCAATACGCCTCTGTAGGTTAGCATGCTAAGCTAGCCTTTTTTATTGTGCACAACATTGTATACATACTGTATAGACACTATAAAATAAACATACACAATGTGACGTCATATCTTTGCTGAAATACTCATTTGGTAATGTGCTGGTCTTAAAGCTCGTCTCCCAGCCTGACCATCAGACGAGACTTCTGAATCCACCCAATCAGACCAGTTAACCCAGTTGGGAGACTAGCTAACCACCTTAGATTTGTGCCAGCTGTTCCCCCCCAGCATTACCACAATATTAATGCAAAAGGAATTACAATTTGCCTAACTGACTCTAGGCTTGGAAAACAGCTCTTGTGGAATAAATAACAGACCCAATGAGCAGATGATTTAACCAGCAGGAAATGTTAACTGCAAACATTGAAGGATCCTGATGGTTTTTGTTTAGTGACGAACATCTTTGGCCTAAGAATTGAAAACGAGACAAATGTGCTCAATAGTCAGACCCTATTAAACACAACACCGCAATTCAAGATGGCAACCCACAGACTTAATTTATCTTATCATGAGAGCAGAAGCAATTGTAGTCACCCTGTGTGAGTGTTTACGACAAAGGATCGTAATGAACCCAAGATGTGTTTGGATTCATTAGAGATACACAAGTCTGTTTTACTGAGCACGGGAGGTTTAATCTCTTCGTTTCTCCATTTTCAAATGATTGAACCGTACGGGACGTTTTTCCAGGCACCTAATTAGTGTGGCCCACATGGAGAGCTTTATCTAACAGGAAACGCATCATCCTGACCTGCAGGCCTGCGTTTCCTTTTGAAGTCCAAATCCTTCACCTTCACACTCATGTTGGTAAACAACGGTTTACTGATTCAGTGTAAGATCTATCTATCTATCTATCTATCTATCTATCTATCTATCTATCTATCTATCTATCTATCTATCTGTCTGTCTGTCTGTCTGTCTGTCTGTCTGTCTGTCTGTCTGTCTGTCTGTCTGTCTGTCTGTCTGTCTGTCTGTCTGTCTATCTATCTATCTATCTATCTATCTATCTGTCTGTCTGTCTGTCTGTCTGTCTGTCTGTCTGTGTCTGTCTTTCAACTTGTCTGTCTGTCTATCTGTTTGTTTGTCTGTCTGTCTGTCTATCTATCTATCTATCTATCTGTCTGTCTGTCTGTCTGTCTGTGTCTGTCTTTCAACTTGTCTGTCTGTCTATCTGTTTGTTTGTCTGTCTGTCTGTCTATCTATCTATCTATCTGTCTGTCTGTCTGTGTCTGTCTGTCTTTCAACTTGTCTGTCTGTCTATCTGTTTGTTTGTCTGTCTGTCTGTCTGTCTATCTATCTGTCTGTCTGTCTTTCAACTTGTCTGTCTGTCTATCTTTTTGTTTGTCTGTCTGTCTATCTATCATCTGTCTGTGTCTGTCTGTCTTTCAACTTGTCTGTCTATCTATCTATCTGTCTGTCTGTCTTTCAATTTGTCTGTCTGTCTATCTTTTTGTTTGTCTGTCTATCTATCTTTCTGTCTGTCTGTCTGTCTGTCTGTGTCTGTCTGTCTTTCAACTTGTCTGTCTGTCTATCTGTTTGTTTGTCTGTCTGTCTATCTGTCTGTGTCTGTCTTTCAACTTGTCTGTCTGTCTATCTATCTATCTATCTATCTATCTATCTATCTATCTATCTATCTATCTATCTATCTATCTATCTATCTATCTATCTATCTGTCTGTCTGTCTGTCTGTGTCTGTCTGTCTTTAAACTTGTCTGTCTGTCTATCTGTCTGTCTGTCTGTCTTTCAACTTGTCTGTCTGTTTATCTTTTTGTTTGTCTGTCTGTCTATCTATCTGTCTGTCTGTCTGTGTCTGTCTGTCTTTCAACTTGTCTGTCTGTCTATCTGTTTGTTTGTCTGTCTGTCTGTCTATCTATCTATCTATCTATCTATCTATCTATCTATCTATCTATCTATCTATCTATCTATCTATCTATCTATCTGTCTGTCTGTCTGTCTGTCTGTCTGTCTGTCTGTCTGTCTGTCTGTCTGTCTGTCTGTCTGTCTGTCTGTCTGTCTGTCTGTCTATCTATCTATCTATCTATCTGTCTGTCTGTCTGTCTGTCTGTCTGTCTGTCTGTCATTTTGTCTTACAGTATGAATAATTCAGGAAGTATTGTTAAGGATTTCCACTCATTTCCCATAATCGAATCCAGCATTGCAACCCTCATTCCCACTGTGTTTCCCAAATGAAACGTCAAATGATTTCACATGACATTGCTCATTGTAACTCTAAACGAAAGTGTATTAATCCACAGGGGCAGCGCGTGGGGGTGATGAAAGAGGAGCGTTCAACACTTCCTCCCCTGCGGCTCAGAGGAAATGATTCAATGGCCTGAATATCCACTTAATTCAGACATTATACTGTAGACGCTAACAGAGTCAGTCTGAATGGATTTAGGTTCCCACTAGGTGGCAGACATGGCTAAGGTTAGTTTGGAGCGTCCGGAATTGATGAGGCCTCAGGTAACGTTAGTTCACCCCAAAATGAAAAAATGTTGACATTACCTACTCAGCCCTCATGTTGTTCCAAAGCTGTATGAGTTTATTTCTTCTGTTGAACACACAATACTTTAAAGAAGGTGACTAGATGTCCCAGTTTCCCGGTTTTTGGTGTTCTGTCTCCTGAAATGTCTAAGTTTAACCTCTGGTTCAAAACAACCCACAAATACATTGCAAAAAAGCCCATACTACTGGCTGGTTATGGCTAGGGTGACCATATTTTGATTACCAAAAACCAGGACACTCGGCCCGGCAAACAGAAGGGCCTAACTCAAATGATACTCAAAGTTTACTCAAAGATACCTTATTAATTTCAATACATTTAAAGTAGGTTATGCCTCCTCTGTATGGATAGAAAATTGTTATTTGAAAACGGGACTTGTCCGGGGAAAACAGGACAGTTGGTCACCCTAGTTATGGCAAGTAACTTACACCTGGTGCTTCTCGGTTATGGGAGCAATTGTGTAGTGATTGTTTTCACCAACAGATGGCGTTGCGAGCTACGCTTCCTCTACTTGGTCACGCACGCGCCGCTACTTCATGATCTTAAACCTGGAGGTGAACACATCGCCATCTTCAAATATATCAAAATAAACATTGTTATCTCATTCAAGGTAACAAAGTACTAACTATTCAAGTTAAATTGAATAAATATTGTTTGTAGGTGCTTTATAATAGGGTCTTAAACGGGCGAAGGATTGTTTTGCACAATTTTAACCCTCCCCAAAAGTTCCAGTCACAACCAGTAGGCTAACGTCAATTCCCCAACTATACTTGCAACAAATACATTTGCAGAATACACATACTTTCTGTTTAAAATCAGCCTAAAATGCAAAATAACAAGCCCAATTAAGGATAAAGCAATTTTCAAGCACAAACGTAACAAAACATCTGCAACTACTACAATATCAACAGTTTGTGAAAATGAAAATATTAAATACAATTATATACTTTTTAAAATATTTGTTAAATAGGCTAGTGTTATTTATCAATTATGTTAGTTTTTGAAAGCCATCATTTTGTTATAAATATTGTTTTGAATGCTATTTACAATGGTTATTAACTTTTCATTGTGTGATTTCTTTCTTCTTCTTCTTCTTTTTTTTTAATGCGGGTGTGCCAGTGAATTGTACTAAAACCAGACCAAAAATCCTCATAATTAAACTGAAACGTAAGTGTTAATGTTGATAATAAAATAGGGAACGCATAACAATTTTTTTTTTAAAAAAACATAAACTTTCAAAAATGTAGGTATTGTCCCCGTTTTTCAATTCATATAATAACAAATGATATTTTAGTGATATTTTGACCACTCAAATAGGAAATGCCCCCAGTTTCCATTTCAGAAACCTGGTCACTAGGGTGACCACCCGTCCCGCGTAGCGCGTGCGCGCACAGCGTTTGAAGCCCAATTAATGCGTCCCGCAAATTGAGACCGCGTCACGCATAATCAATGCTTGCTCAAAAAAAAGTCGGTCACTCTTTATCCTCGAGACGCAGGCAGCCAAACGTTGTGCCTGAACACGTTCACGTTCATGAACTTGTTCATATTTTGGGTGAACTGAACGTATTGTTTAACTGCCTGTCCTGATGAACGTGTGAACTCGTTCATTCTGGTGTCTCTGAACGCACGCTCTCTCAGTTTAACTTCGTTCAATGGGGTGCCAGATTTCTATAGAGCCTTCCAGGCGAACACCCTGCTAAAACTCACCGTAAACAGGGCTCAATATGTAGCGAAAAAACACCCAATCTGGCAACACAAGCCACCAGTGTCGCACCGCGGCCGCCGTCGACAAAGGCGTCATATGATCATTTAAACGGATTTTATAACGAGGTCGGTGAAGATGGGAAAAATCTTACATTTCTGTGCAAACTTGAACTTAACTAGTTCATTTTGTAGAAAGTGAACTTCATCAAGACTGGTTGCCACTCCCACGTGACCTGCTGACTAGGTTGATGTCAACTTTTTCTTTGTTGTCATGACAGCGCAGCTTCTCGTTCCGTGAACCTCTGGAGTTGTGAGTTTAGACTTTTTTTCGACTTTTTTTAAACTGTTCCTGTGGTGTTGAGCAACTATAATTCCTGTTAATCCTATAATTTTATACTTTTATTGATTTAAAGTGAATTAATTGTAATAAAAAATAAATAAAATTTAAATAGCTAAAGTAAATCGTAAGTGGAAGTGCTGTCAATTCATCATTGAATGTTCAAAATATTTATCTTTATTTAGAAAACAAATACACATTGGTTGGCCTATCATGAGCATCAGCATATAGCCTATCAGCAATTACACATGTTTAGGGAATAGGGCATTATTAATGTATGTGCTAAGGTATGTGCTTTTTTTTTTGAACAATTATTCATGTACAAACAGTAAGGCAATAGTAACAATTCTAGATATGGGTAAACCACTATCAGAGTCTGCCCGTGGGGTGGGGGCACCGGCGCGCCAAGCAGTGTCCCACATTGTCCCTCAGAAACATACCCCTTGTCCCCCCTTGGGCTTATTAGCAGGTGGTCACCCTACTGGTCACCTAATTGACCTCACAATGCATTCTCATCCCAAGGCGTCATATAGTGATGCTTTTGACATTTCGTCTAAATCCAACGCTCATGGCACCTTTTAGCGTCAATATAACACGCACAGAGTACGGGTAGGTTCTTTGACTTCCAAAGTAATTTTTTCCCCTACAATAGAAGCCAATGGCTACCGTCAACCGTGTGGTTATAAATAAAGGCTATACATTCTTCAAAAATATTTTCTTTATAGTATGAAAGAAAGTCATACAGGTTTAGAACAACATGAGGGTGAGTAAATGATGACAGAATTAAACATTTTGGGTGATCTATCCCTAAAAGGCCTGTTCACACCAAAATCGATAAACTATTACACACTAGCGTCAACTTTCTTCTAAGTGCTGTATCAAAGGGGTAAGTTAGTATGATTGTTGATTTATGCCATAATTGTTTGCACTTGAATTCTGTTTAAAAAATAATAATTAGAATAAAAATGGCGTCACTACTAGCGCCTTATTAAAAAAAATCTATGTTGTACTTCACCAACAGACCTACTGTATACAGTATAGAACAACCTGAACCACTGAGCCATTGCCTTAATTTACACTACATGTATAACCTGCTCCAGATTAGGTTTCACTATAGGTTAGAGATCGCAAACCAAAACAGGACCAATCACCATGTGTGGAAAATGACATATGCAATAAAGCCACTCACTTTATTCACTTGCATTGAAATAGTTAGATATTTTCTTTCAGCTCAGCTGCCTTCTCAAACTTTCGCTAGCAGCAGTGTTTATTTCTGCCTTGTAAATGATATTTTTCATAACGATCATTGTGAAAATCTACGTGTTTAATTCGGTAACGCTTCCTTTTACAGTCTAGTTACCCATGTAGATAACTAGTACTTAGTACTAACCCTGAACCTACCCCTAAACCTACCCCTGTTCCATGTACTCACCTTATATTAGCCAGTACTTTCTAGGTAAGTACCCTGTAAGTACTGTACTGTAAAAGGAAGCTTTACCTTTAATTCTCCCTCTTCAGTCTATAAATTGAATTCATACTTTTTTTAGCTGAGCTTAATTATTTTGTTCATCATTTACATTAGTTCATTTCCAACCATTAACTGACACTGTACACAATAAGTTGTGTTTAAGAAAATTTAGTTTAAAGCAGACATTGCACGCAAATATAGATACATGCAATATAACCACTGTATTTTAATATGCCAGATCACACTGTTGAAGAGTCTGCTCTACTCTGTGGTTCAGATTCAGGTCACGGGGAGATGAAGCGGCTCCAGAAGATAATGCTCTTGGTGGGGTTGTGCCGGATGAAGAAAAGGAAGGGGCGGTCTGCCACGAAACTCTCTGCATCATTCTTTCTGAGAAGACGACTCTGGACAACCACATCAGTGCCTCCAGCTACCTCTGTGCTTTCCTCGTTCACCTCCACAGAAGACTTGTGCACCACTTTGGACACCTTTACCTTTTCAGAGGTCATGCCAGATAAGTCACACTTATCACCAAACAGCTCAGTTATGCCCAGAGTCTTCAGGACCTTTTCCATGTCATATTTCTCCTGCAGCTTAAAGAGGGGTATTTTAACATCCACCTCCGTACGAATCATATTGTCCGGCTCAGTCCACTCCTGAAGATTCTCATAAGTGATCAGGTCTACCAGCTTAGAGGAAGGAGAGAAAAAGAAGAGGAAGAGGCTTTAATTGTTTCCCATTCCATGTAACACCAAACCTACACAACAATCCAAATTTTCATGTAGACTTTATCTTAATTATGCAGTTCAACTGAAGTAAAAGCAGTGAGGGAGTTTCAGTTGCTGTGCACGTGACTGCCTGTTTTACCTGCTGTAGCCCATCGCTCTGGTTTGGGAGTATGATGATCATGCTCAGATGTTTATTTGCATAAGGGATCTCCAGAATCTGAGCTATAGAGGGAAGTGAATGTTGTCTGTGTGGGATGTTACCCAGAGGAAATTTATTCATCTGGCTCATCATTGGCCATCCTTCTCCTTTGTCCTGAAATTTAAAACACAGACAGATTGGACATTAGAGGTGCTGATGTGTTAGCTGTGCTGAAGTATCATTTCCTTTACAAACAATAAGTGTATACTTCAAGTTTATTTTTATTAAGTATATTCCAGTAAAGTTCAACTATATATTTTAAATATACTATGTAGCATAATAATGTCAATGTAATGGTAAACTTGGTAAATCTCAATACTTTGGACTAAATTGGCTCACATTTTAGTGTATAAAAGTATGCGTTTAAGCACACTTTAAGTGTAATGGTAATAACTTTGAGAACACAACTAGTTTACACATCTAGGTTTTTTGTTGGTACTGCAACTATATTCCAAGTAAACTTATGAGGTATACTGATAGTTTACTAGTCAGCTGTAGCACATTTTTTAGTTTATGAAAGCACAATTTGAAGTATACTCTCAGTAAACTATTAGTCGTTTTATACTGCAAGTATACGTGTACATTTTATTTAAATTAACTTAACATACAGAATTTCTAGTTTATTATATATATATATATATATATTTTTTTTTTTATTATTATTTTTTTTGGGGGGGGGGATGTGGGAAAGTTTAACTTAAAAAAGCAACACAAGCTAAGAAAATGGTGTTTTTGTCAAAGACTACGTCTGCATCAGATTCAGAACAATGATCAAAATATAGACAGAGTAGATCACTTCCATCAACACCGAAAGCATATTTTTAGTTTAAAAGAAGTGTATTAATAAGCACATTTGTTGTAAGGGTTACACATAGAGAGGACAGATGAGCTGGCACTAAAGCAATAAGGCACAAGAGATCATGCTTTACAGTGATTCGCCACTGGTTGCACAGCGTGGATTTAGCAGACAAAGCTGAATTGTCTTGACAAAGTTACCTTGATGGCAGGAACACATTTCGTGAATGGCTTGACCCACTTATTCATGAAGTGCACTGCGCTGATTAGTACAAGACTCGTGTTGTTAGACACATCTCCTTGATCCAACAAATTGGTAATTTGATCTAAAATAGAAAGATAAAAACATCCATCACGAGGGTGAGAAATTATGATTCTAGACTTTAGTCTAATAGTTATAAAACCAATTTAATTTAATTACTATTTGTCATTTTCTCCACCCAGTTGTTGATTTGTTCTCTCGCAGCCTCAGGATTTGTCTTGAAGTCAGCATTCCTCAAGCTGCCGAAACACCACTCCTCACACATGTCAAGGAAATCCTAAGATCATCAGTAGAAAGAGAGGGAACATGGCATAATAGGATTAAGATCCAGGCATCTCACTGAATGATGAATTACTTTACTGTCATTTAACTAAATTAACCATTTGCTGTGTTTTCTCAACCAACTCACATCTTTGAAATTGAGTGTCCTTTCTCCAAACATGCGGTTCGCCAGATTCAGGCTCTTCCCTTCTTTGTAGATCTCCTCATACAGATCGTGGTACATAATTTTCATTTCGCCAAAGTGGAGGGTCTTAAGAGAAACATAACAGGATATCGTTTAATAGCATCGGGTGAAATTTATTCAGAGAATTTGATACTGTGAAGTTAAGAAAGCATTGCAAAAATGAACACGTCTTTCGTAATGTAGTCACAGCAATCAATGCATTAAAGGAGACATATTATGCGCAGAATTCACTTTTGTGGTAAAAATGGTAAAAATCCCACCCCTTAGTTATATTTCCCATAAATCATAATCAGTGTCTCAACATTAGTTGTTTGTTACATTGTGACAATCTAACCGACACGGTTTACGACTGGTGAAGGAATCTGCCCTTTTAGCCACTCCTCGCTAGAACAGCTAAACACAAGAATGTCTATGTGATCAAATCTAATCTAAATGTTCTGTTGTTGGATGTATCAATGAACACAGTGTTTTTCTGATCCACTGAGCTACTTTTCCAACTTTTCACAGCCTCTCGTGCAGGAAATTGTGTTCTAAAAATGCTGTACTCACTTTAAAAAAGGTTAAAGGGATATTCCACTTTTTTTGGAAATTGGCTCATTTTACCTCTCCCCCAGAGTTAAACAGTTGAGTTTTACCGTTTTCGAATGTATTCAGACGATTTTTTGATATTTAGAAGAATATCAGTAACCAGACAATTTCTGGTCTCATTGACTTCCATAGTATATTTTTTTCCTACTATGGAAGTCAATGAGACCAGTAACTGTCTGGTTACTGATATTTTTTTCTAAATATCAGAAAATCGGCTAAATGGATTCAAAAATGGTAAAACTCAACTGTTTAACTCTGAGGGAGTTGTAAAATGAGCCTATTTCCAAAAAAAGTGGAGTATCCCTTTAAACTTTACTTTAAAAAACTTTAAAGTAAAGTAGTTTAAAAAGGGTCAACTAAATTTTTTAAAAAGAGCCCCTTGACACCATGCGTTTTCAACTGCCAATGCATTTGAGCATTCATAAACATGAGATGACAGTGTATAGAGAGCTTATAGAGCTATTTGGCAGCTTGAGCTCACCTTATAAATCTGGTCGGCAGTTTCGCTCTTATAACCGGCACCCAGACTGACTAGGCCCAATGCAGAGGAGATGCTCAGGGGTGAGAACAGCACATTTTCTGTGTTGCCCTTACAGAGCTCTTTTAAAAGGTCAATGGAGAATTTTGAGTGCGCCAAAACAACAGGTTCAATTGCTTCCATTTCGTTTACCGGCTAGAATGAAGAAAATTCACATTAAACATCATGTTAGACCAGAACAGAAAAAAGGAAAGGATTTCAAGAATGAAAAGATCAGACAACAAAGTGTACATCCTGTTGAAGTCTAATGCATAATTCTTTTATAAAATCAAAAACAACAAAACAGCCCAAAGCTAATTATAGCTTTCAAAATGAACTGAAATTAACTCTCTTTCCCTTCTTAATAAAAAAGGGTTTTCAGTGTGCGTTTTACATATATAAACACTTGGTGGAAAAAATGCTGTACAGTGACAAATGTTTTCAATAATACTGCCTTAATTATTAAAAATTATTGTTATTCTTAGTTAACCCTGAACAAAGTGCAGTAACCAAAAAATAAATAAAAAATGTAAAACATTTCAGTGTTTGTTGGCCCTAATAGCCTTTTCCATTAGAACATCATTTGTTGATCTGCAAAGTATTAGTGTAATATGGTTTTTATCAGCGAACAAAAATCTTTCTTGATTATTAAAATGTTTGCAAAATGAATGTTAAAATTATTGAGGTGAATCTAAAATTACTATTTCTTACTGACACAATAAAGCAGAAGATAAATAAGATGGTAATTTTATATTTATTTAAGTCCAATGATTTTGTGAAACATTTTACATCGTTTATGTATATCATAATTGTAGTAAAAATCACAAGCTTCTGAAATACTTACTGATAAAGCAAGCGATGATTCGATCTCTTCTTGATACGAGGTGTCGTCTGTCTCATTTTATTCATTGCTTCCTATATATAGTTAGACACACACACACACACACACACAAATGTGAGAAATCACCCCATAGTTTAATATTACCTAATCTGCAACTTACTGTAAATACTTGCGTAACAGACATCACTCTTTCCAAGTAACCTGAGAGATTACCTGGAGGTGGCTTGGGCTCAAAAACAAAATTCCACTTACATCAAATATATATATAAAAAAAACTTTTATTGATACAAGAAGGAATTTAACGATACAAAATTAATATCTTGGTGGTCCTAACAAATCTAACTTCACATCAATACTGAATAATATCAGTTGAGACAAGATACGACATAGATTTCTGTATGCTGTTTCTTTCCAGGTCGAGCAAGCATATTTTGGAGAATCAGTGCCATTCTGTATAGGTTAAGGGTGGGCCCAACAATCATTAAATTGATTTAATTTATTTTTTTTATTTGGTTACTGCACTTTGTTTGAGGTTAAATGATAAATTAAAAATATTCAATGGAGTATTATTGAAAACCTTTTCATATTACACTTTACTTTAAGTTTTCCACCATTGGCCAAAACTTCTGCAAAGCATGTATGTAAAATACACGTATGGATGGAAATGTGGTAGACCCACCCGGGATGGAAACCGAAAAACCTTTGAGAGGTTTTGAGAGGGTGGTCTTGAATGTGGGCTGCTCTGTTGTGTTGATTGTGTATAAAAATTCTGCATTAGACTTTTTTACATTTTAGGAGAGCACATTAATGTTGCTTGTCTGTGGCTGAAACCGATAGTGCAGTCGGTCTCTCACTGACACTGCCTCACCATTCTGGCTGATGCCCTCAGCTGCATGAGTCCCTCTGAACAAACGACAGGAAACCTTCAGGACAATTCTGCGTTGCTTGCCCTGCCTTGGAGCAGCACTGACCCATGGTCTATACCTGGCTGGTAGAATGGCATACCAGTATCAGGCTTTCCCTGCCACCCATTGCAGTGAATGGCAGCAAAGAAAGAGTCTTCATAATGCCTGATTCAGATTACACGATTTTTTTTTAACCTTTATTTAACCAGAAAAGCTCTCTGAGATTAAGAATCTCTTTTACAGGAGTGTCCTGGCCAAAAATGCGCAGCAGTACAATCGGTTCCATTACAAATAAACATCACACAGACAGATACAAAACAGTTAAAAGAGTAGTTTAAAAGCAGTTGCATAATGTTTGATCAGCCGGATAACTGATTTAAAATGGTCTAGAGTCAGCAAATTTTCTCATTTTCTTTTAGTTTGGAGGGCATTCCAATCAAACGGCGCTGCATACATAAAAGACTCCTTGCCTAACTCAGTTCGCACAAAAGAGAACTTTTGTCTGTTACGATAGTCACTGTGTCAGATTACGCGATTTTGGCTCCTAAAATCTTGTCGTGTCGTGGACAAGACGCATGTCATTCTACACGTTACTTCCTGACCAGTCATCGCATGCCGCGTTTAACGGCGCGCGTGATGTCATCGAGAGGGCGGAACTCGTAGCGAGTGACTTCCTGAATTGCTCGGCATTGCCTTTTCAGCGTGAGAAATACACGGTGTGGCGTGTGAGTGTGTGAACTGGTTGAATTGCGTGTGTCTCACATTACGGCTATTGCGTGAGATTTGAGAACCCTGCTCGAAGTATGGGCTGTCAATCCTCCAAAGAGAACTTGAGGTAAAATTTTGTTTTCTTATATATTTTTTCTTCTAGTTTTAACGTTAGCACCATCGTCTCTCTTTCGTTTTTTTTTTTTTTTGAAAGTTGTATACGGAAAAGCTTGTGCTCCTATTGGTCAACCTCATACATGTGACGGAACCGTCGTAGACGGCCTTTAAAAAAATTAAACATCCTAGTCTTTTTGTCGTGAAGCATCGCAGACGCAACATAGGTTGTCTACACTATGACACACTATACAGGATGATACGATCGAATCTTGCGTCCCGATGCCCGTTGTCATTTCCGAATCCCCACGACACCCTACGTCAAACGGATCGTGCCAAAATCGGGCTAAAATCGTGTAATCTGAACCAGGGATAAGTCCGGCTTGTCCCCCTTGGTAGAGCTGCGAATCTTTGCAGAAAACGTCCTTGGGTTACGACTGTAACCCTTGTTCCCTGTGAGAAGGGAACGAGAACTGCGTCGAATGACACTTTGGGGGAACGCCCCTCAGTGTAGCACCTATGAAGTATGAATGAAGCTAAGCCAAAATCCGATTGTTGTTGCGTCATGACGTAATGTGTGACGGCACATAGGCGGAAGCTATAAAGGGACAAATACCCATGAGCCGGGGCTGAGCTATGCTATGCAAATTCTGCAGACCTAAGGCATTTCTTTGCCAGTGGGAAAGGTAATAGGCTTTTAAACAAAACCTCCATTTCGAGGGTTACATAGGTAACCGAGACGTTTCGGAGACACATTTTCTGTACCAATGGGCTCTATGCACGGCGGTACATAGGTCTCTGGATGCTGGATTACTTCCGCCGATTGTAGAGTCCTATGCTATAGACCTTATTCAGAGCAGCGCCATGACATATATGAAAGTGAGGCTGTGAGGGATAGACTTACCGTGTTTCCAATGGCATCCGCTGAAAAAAAGCTGAATGAAGCTCCTAGATAACTTACAATTTTCCACAGCTTACATTGTCTGGAGTTTTTTTGTCAACTGAAAGATATTTTTCCGGTGTTTCATGAGCAGAACAATCCGGAAACACATTAAAAAAACGTACAACCCATTGAAGAGATGCATGTCTATCCCTCACAGCCTCGCTTTCATTCTCATTAAAAATCAAAGATGGCGTATACCAAGAATTTAAATGGGCTTTTATACTCTATGGCTATACTAAAGTAACGTTTGTCACAAAAACAGACAAAACAGCCACCCCTCATTTTATTTATGCTTCTTTGTTTAATTATATTAAATAAACATAACTATATATAAAATGACATCTAAACGTATTAAAGTTTCGCCTCCTCTTTAAATCTCCCCAACCAGAAACTGAAGAGCAGCCTTGCGTCAAATGCGGAACTTACGCGTGCATATAGCCTATTAGTGATCAGTTATGTATTTTATGGCTAGAGGTCATAAATGGTAATGTCGATTCATTAAAATATATATATTCTCAGCCATTTAGCAGTTTGAAATCATTTTTTCAAAATATATTTTGTTGCAGTGTTTGTAAAATATATTTTGTTGCAGTGTTTGTAATGATTTCTGTTCACATATTTTTGTAACTATAAATGTAACTATAACTGTTATAATGCAGTATAGAGATTTATAGATATAATTATTTAATAGTACTTATGAATAAGTATAAATGGAGCTAGCACGTGCTTCATAGAAAGTGTTACCAAAGATAAAAAAGTATGAGTTTCCATGAAGCATTGTGAAATTTTCCTCAGTATCTTAAAGGTATTGTTAGCTTGAGTCAACGCTATTTAGTCAAACTAACATAACAAGTTTTATCATGACTGTCATTGTAGCAGGAGTTGCTAAAGGCTGTTTTATTGAATGTTGCAACAGTCTCTGAGAAAGTCATGGAAATGCAAAAAGTGTTGCAACTGTCCCCAATCTTCCCCCTACGCCCCTGTTCTCAGCACAGTTGTTTATTTAATAATGATAGATTCAGTGTCCCATTGACTTATGCCTATTAAAAATCTTTAAGTTTTCATAATAGTTAATGCTTTCATTAGTTCCGTGCTAATGAAAGCGAACATCGTTCTAACCTCAGGGGTGAAGATAATGGCGAGAATCGAAAGATCCTTCTGACCTTGGTCTTTATCAATCCCTTCTCTCATCCTCCATATCTCTGCTAAAATGACTTACTATCACAACTAAATCACACTCACGCTCGCACATCAACACCTCTCTTCACTCTGGTACCTTTCCCACAGCATTAAAGCACGCTCAGGTAACCCCACTACTTAAAGGAGAACTCCGGCGCAAAATGAACCTTTGGTCTAATAACACATTGGTACCTAGTTGACCGTTCTCTGAGATTTTTTTCATGATAATCGAATGTAAAGAGTTTTATCTCTAAAAACTGTTTAGCATATAACGCTATGGGGGCATATAATAAGTAAAAAGAAATCGCTAGTTAATAACACTAGCAGGGCTCAAAATAGCCCCACACTAACACTGTAACATAATGAGGCTCCATACATGCAAAACGAAGCATTGAGAACTTTGTAAGTGTACAAACCGTTTAATAAGAAGATACTTTTTAAAGACAGTCCACTTCGTGTATACAGGCAGGAGCCATCTTTGGAAAACAGTCTGGACAAGTCGAACCACGAGGTTGACAGAACTTAGCTAGTTTGGATGAAAGAGGATGAGATGTTGTTCACAACACTGAGGTTAGATAAATCCCATCACATAGAGACTCTTTTAAAAATTTAAATTTCAAAATTTGAAATTTAAAAAATTTCCAAAAACCAGTTAAGGTTAAAAATTGATGTTCAACTAATAAAAAAATAAATAAGAAAACAGATGAAATTACAAATGAGCAAATGATGCCGTTGAAATTCTGCAGAAGAACAACGACTTCTCAGATAATTATCTAGTCTTGTGTAAACTTTATTCGGCAAGGCTGCAAAGCTGACGCAGTGTTACAAATATGTTCGACCTATCCCTTCTTCAACTAAAGATTGCTTTATTAATAATCTTCCCGATCAGTTTCATCATCTCAGCATTCCAGATAGCTTAGAAGAATTCGATATTGCGACAAAAACTTTTAACTCTCTCTTTTCCAGCACTTTAGACACAGTGGACACTCCTCTCTTTCTTCTCTGCTAATATCTCTACTGCTAAAATGACTTACAAAAACAAGAAAATGAACAATTCTTCTGACTCTTGGATGCTTTTCAAATCCTTCTTAACGATTTTGACACATTCTTCATAAATAAATCAACCACCATCAGTGGCCAGTTTACCAAACCGCAGCTAACACACACATTCTGATCACACACCTCTACCTCTCATTCCAGCCTGATGACTCGACAGTTGCTG